CCAAATAGTGAATTGTTATCCCAAAAGCTTGAATCTTTACATTTGTCAGACATAAAGTTACTATAATAATTTACTACTGTGTATTGTATGTCTATTCTGTTCCACTGATCCACCTTTCTATTCTTAGCCAGTACCAGATAGCATTGATAATTGCCACCTTACAACACAGTTTAAGAGATGGTACTACTAAATCTCATTCCTTTTTTTTTTTATTAATTCCATTGATATTCTTGAGCTTCTGTTCTTCTAAATGAATTTGGTTATCATTTCTCTAGCTCAATAAATTTTTTTAAAATTTAATTGAGATGCCATTGAATAAGTTTAGGTAAAATTGTCATTTTTGTTATATTGGCTCTGCTCACCCATGAGCAATTAATATTTCTCCAGTTATTTTATATGACTTTATTTGCATAAAAAGTGTTTTATTACTATATTCATGTATGTTCTTGGGTTTGTCTTGGCAGATATACTTCCAGGTATTTTATGGTTATTTTAAATGGGGCATCTCTTACTATCTTTTCTTGTAGGGTTTTGTTGGTGATATATAGAAATGCTGATTATATATGTAAGTTTATTGTATATGCTGCTAATTTGCTGTCACCCTGGACCATCACCAGTTATCTGAACTTTTGTCTTGCCACTGTACTTTAATAACTCTGGAGGAGAGAGTGAGGCCGATGACTTTGAACAGCTCTGCCCTACTTATATCCAATTCATGCACAAGCCAAGACATTGTCCTCATGATGTCATTGGTCCTCTTCTAGAATGATGAACAACAACAACCACTTTGCTAAAATTATTAATTGTTTCTCCTAGCTTTTTAGTTGAATTTCTAGGATTTTCCATGTATACCTTTGTATCAGCATATGTTTTATTACCTCAGTGCCCATTTTGATTCTTTCAATTTTGTTTTCTTCTCTTATTGCTTTTGCTAGCATTTCCAATACAACAATGAATAATATTGGTGATAATGGGCATCCTTGTTTTACTCCTGATCTTACTGGGAAGGCTTCTTACTTATCCTCATTGCAAATAATGCTTGCACATAGATTTCAGTAGATGCTCCTTATCATTATAAGGAAAAAACCATTTATATCTATGATTTCTAGTGTTTTTAAAAGGAGTGTTGTATTTTGTGAAAACCTTTTTCTACATCTACTGATATAATCATGTGATTTTTATTACTTTTGTTATTGAGTACAAAAATTCTTAGAATATCTCTCCTCAATCTATTTTCCAGGTCAATTGTTTTTCCAAAGAGATATTTCATATTTTCTTCTTTTTTTCATTTTTTTTGTTTTGTTGTATTGTTTCTTGATGTCTCATAGTGTTTAGCTTCCACTTGCCCAATTCTAATTTTCAAGGAATTATTTTCTTTAGTGAGCTGTTGTTGTTCCTTTTCCATTTAGCCAATTCTGCTTTTAAAGGAGTTATTTTCTTCAGTGAATTTTTGTATATCTTTTCCCATTTTTTTGTGTGTCCTTTACCAAATTGTTGACTCTTTTTCATGATTCTCTTTTTCATGATTCTCTTTTTCCACTCATTTCTTTTCCCAATGTTTTCTCTACCTCTCTTATTTGTTTTTTTTTTTGTAATTGAGCTCTTCCAGGAAGTCTTTTGTGTGTGTGTGTGTGTGTGTGTGTGTGTGTGTGTGTGTGTGTGTGTGTGCCTGACACCAATTCACATTTTTCTTTGAGGCTTTACATGTAGCCATTTTGACATTGTTGTCCTCTTCTGAGTTTATTTTGCTCTTCCCTGACCCCACAGTAACTTTCTATGGTCAATTTCTTTTTTTGTTGTTTGCTTATTTTTTCCAGCCTATTTCTTGACTTTTAACTTTGTTAAAGTTGTGCCTTGCTCCTGGGGAGGAGGGAGTACTGTCTCAAGCTTCAGGTTTTTCATGGTACTGATTTCATAGCTAATTCTGGAAACCTGTAAGTTTTTGGTTCTTCCAAGGTGGTATGAGCTAAGGAGAGGTATACTACCCTATCCCCAGGAGAAAAAAATACTTTGGATTTGCTGAACAGGTAGGTCTCTTCCTACTGGACCTACACTAGCCAAATAATTCACAGTTAATAGGGAGTACAGAATGTATCTTCTGTTCCCCATCTTGTAGGTTTAGTCTCTTTCTGATCCTCCGGTAGTGAGATTTATGTGTGCAACTGTATTCTTTCTCTAACAAGTCTGCTGCACAAGAACTCTCCTTATCACTAAAAGGCTAAGCCCCCAAACACCGCAATTTGGAATTACTTTTGAGTCAACTCCCATGGCTAACATTGCCTAGGAAGATTTCCTTCTCTGACTAGCAGGCTAGATTCTTGCATTATGTTGCCCCAGAAATTTTTGCCACTCTAACCAGGAAGCAGGAGTTTAGGAATGACATTATCTTAGGACTGCCCTCTGAGACAATGCAGATAAACACATTTAGTGTCTGTGGACTTCTCCAGGATGCTCCACCATTTCCCCAGCTGCTCCCATCTCTTGGACCAGGAAAAAAAGAAAGTCAACTCTCAGGTCTCTGATCTCTGCCTTCTGTCCTTAAAATTGTAGATGGGATATGTAGTTGACATATGACTCTGTTCTAAGCCAGCCATTGTCTGATTATATTCTCACAACCTATCATGGCTTCATTCTGGGGTGGGGGGGAGGGAAGGGGAGAGAAGGAGGTACAAAGGAAAGGATGGAAAAAAGCCAAAAAAGGGATAAGTGTGTTTGCCAGTTCACTTTTATAGTTCTGCAGAGAGGGTAGCTCCTCCCAACAGAGTTCATATTACCAAAAGTTCCAGCCAACTTAATCATCTTGGGGGCATCTCAAGCCACTAACTTATTCTTTTTTTTAACTCAACAAGATATACAATGTGCATCACATGTGAAGTCCCCATAAGAGCTATCCTCTGCAAGTGTACATGCACTCAAAATGATAGCTCACAACTCCCCACCAGTGGGTTTCTTTTTCCTTTAGTGAGTCAGAAAACACAATTAGCTTGAAAGCAAAGGCATTTAATGAAATAGAGTAAAGTTTGTAAAAGAACATTGCCCCCATAAACACAGGCACACTAAAGTTCAGAATGATCTGGGGTTGGTGAAAAAAGCTTAGAAAAACTTAATTTCAAATATACGAACACAAACACATACATATATACATACATATGTATATACATATATATATATGTATAATGTTACAGTAGTGTGAAAAACTAGGGCTCTATCTTAATGGCTGCTTCTGCTCTAGATTCGCTAGTTCTTCCCACCTAATGCTCCTCCATTATATGGACATTTCCTTACTATATCACTGACAGTGGATTGGCTATCTCCCATATACTTGCCAGTACCTTGATGCCTGTGATATCAGAGATTGGAAAGCAATCATTTTGCTATAAAACTCCTGGCCCTCACCTGCACTGTGGAAGTCCTTCAATTCATAATGGTACCTGGGTATCCTCAGCCCCAGCCACACCCCCAGTGAATGAATGAGGAAGAAATGTTATGAAGCACTTACTTCATGCCAATCATTGTGCTAAGTGCTGCGGATACAAATACAAAAGGAAAAGCAGTCCCTGCTCTCAGCGACCTTACATTCCAATAGAAGAGATAATATACAAAGGAGAATGGTGACCAGGGATGGGATTTTGGTCCAGAAAGTTACCGGAATGGTGAATAAGACCATAAGGGAATAGACTGACATATCTCATCGTGGAACAATAGTAGAGTTGATCTGATGGACTCAGAACTACCCAGAACTAGGGGTGGGGGTGGAGAAGAAAAACCGTTTACATTTGCAAGAGAGCGAACAAGGCCATGGAGGAGATAACCATAGAGTATGGGATCAAGTGAAGTGTGTGGCTTAGGCTTTCCTGAGATAGTTATCTGAGTGTATAGTTTATTATATACTTTTTTAAGCAAAAGGATATGAAACGTAGAGTCACAGTTGCATAGAGTATCTTTTTTTGTGTTCTGTGTGTATGAAAATGCCTTTTTTGTTGTTGTGGTTGTTTGAATTCAAAATAGAGATTTTTTTTAAGAGAGTGGTATCTGCCATTCATCTTTTTATCTTAGGGCTTAGAAACTTTAGGAAAATGAAATCCTCACATGGTCATCATACTAAGGAAAAACATTAGCTGCTTTGCTCCTGAGACTATGTCTATCCTCAGAGTCATAGACATGATAGACTCCAGAATAAAAGTCCTCACATTCTGGAAATACAGTTAACAGTCATGTAGTGAGGTCACATCCAAATGTGTTGCCTTTTTTAAAATCTACACTTACTGGTCCCCAAGGGCAGTGTCTCTATCCCAAGACTTTGTATGATTTAAGGTTAAAAATTTTTTTGTTGATCCTTGTTGGCCAAACTACCCTGCTTGAGAGACATTTTGGGGACTTCTCTTTCATCAAACCACCAAGTTAGTCTGCAACCCACTCATTTTCCCAGTCTTGAAATTAATTTTTGGTCTCTGATACAAATGAATGGGAATTGGGGTGGGTGGGGTAGAGAAAAGCAAGGGAACAACAGGCATTAATGAATTACCCCACAACTCAATTCTTTTTTTTTCTTCAAATTCCTGCCTTTATTATAGATAAATTGATGTGTAGATAGATCATAGATAAATGTGTATATGCCACATGTAAATGTCTTACACATATGTATGTGCCAGCAAGCCTTTCTAGACTTTGAGCCAAGTCTACAATAATGTATGATTAAGTGCTAAAAAAAATGCCATAAAACTTCAGAAAAAAATGTTAACTAGAATAATCAAGAAATATTGATGGAGGAAATGGGGTTTGAGTTTACAGCACAGAATTGGAGACAGACAGGTGAAAATTTCATTGAGAATCTTCCTGTGGGCTACGATGAACCGCTGAAGATTTCTGAATACAGAAGTAACTTCTAATAACTGTTTTTAGTAAGATTAATCTGTTTATAAAATGGGGGGGGTCAAGACAAGGTAGAGAGCAATCTTTAATTCTTGCTAGTAATCATAGCTTTATTTTTCTGTTTTTAGGATCTGGGAAACGCATGTACCACTTACAAAAACTAACCTTTTTATGCAAATCAAAGGAAATTCAGTAGCTTTACAAGACTGCTTTATTGCAGACTATATCTTTTTGCTGTCCTATGTTTCCCTAACTTTCAGTCAGAATCCTGAGTACGTAAAAATGACATTGAAAGATGAACAAAATATACTTTTTGACTGGCCCCCATGTTTTCCTGCAACTATTGCAACGGTTTCCCATTGGGAGACCCTTTTTACAAAGGATGCTTTCAATACTTCAGAGAAGATCAGAATACCCCCCAACAGCCTGACTGAAGAAGAAAGGCATGATATACAAGAAGTTTGCATAATAGAGGAAGGAATAGTAGTTTTAACAAAAGGTTCTGTTTACCTGAGGAGAAAGACAGATTTCATACCACTTGACAAGAAGTTTGGTATTCCTCCGAATGTAACTGGAATAAAAACCAGAACCTATTGTTGGCCTGGCTATACACCAAGGGTTAGTCCAAGTTTATTGCTGTTCTTTATCCTTGAAGGTCTTTTAGCTGGTGGTATTTTACATTCTCTGAATATGAACAACATGGAAAACAGAGGGTTTAAAATGTGATAAAAGTCAGTTTAGTTATAGAGATGGGGAATGAACTTGCGGTTTTCCTGGCATAGGGCACACATGGTAAGGAAGATCTGTCTACCAGTGTAGGTCAGTGCCTCCTCGGGAACTTAGTATGAGTCTTAGAGTTGCCTAGAGCACAGAGAAGCAACTTGAGCAGGGTCACATAGCCAGTACATGTCAGAGATGGGACTTGCTTGATACCAGGTCTTCAAGGCCAGCTTTTATCCACTCCAAGTGCCGCTCTCCTTCCTCTTTAAACCTATCGATTCATCACTGCTATTGGCTCTTATTAAGAACATTTAACCTATGTGCAATATCAGATCCTCACAGAGTCACTAAGTGTTAAAGCCAGAAAGAGCAATTTTCTAGACTAGAGAGGGTTCTTGACCAGGGGTCCACAGATAGATTCCAGAAGGAGGTCCATGAATTTGGATGGGAAAAAAAGTTACACCTTTATTTTCACTAACCTGTCTACCTGGAATCTAGCATTTCCTTCAATTATAAGAGTAGGCATAAAACGCCTGAAAAGATGGGCCATAGGCTTCAACAGACTGCCGAAGGGATCTAGGACACAAAAATGGTAAAATACAAACAAACAAACAAAAAAAAAAAACCTCATGCTCTAGTAAATTGCTCAAGATCACAGAGCAACTAAGTAGCAGAGCCTGTATACAAACTGGTCTCCAGGTCCAATGCTCCCTTCCTTCTTCAAAACCTTCACAGAAGTCAGGACTTTGGTTTGAATTGGACATGACACTTAAAGTCAGAGACACACATTAACAATCCAAGTCATGCCCTCTACACACTAGTGTAACAAATGCTTATTGAATTGGATTGGGTTATACAGAAGGAAAGACAAGGTATCATCTGGCAATTCTATGCCTTTGATGGGGAATAATTAAATATGGTCTATTCAATCAATAAACATTTATTAAAACCTACCATGTATTCCAGGCACTGTGCTAAGTGCCATTTAAGGAATGGCTGCAATGATGCCATGCTGTCAGTGTTATTTGAATAGGCTACCATTCTGTAGTAACAGGGTAGTTGGAAAAGTGTGGGGGAAACCCCCCTTGTGAATAAACTGCTGCCACCATATTTGGCATGCTGAGGTTCTTTCCTCTAAATTAGTTATTTGTAGCTCACAGTGGCATTTCCTGACAAGAAAAGACAAAAAGTTCAGAATGTTGATCTGAGTGTACATTTCCCTGGGGTATGAATACAAAGGAACCCCCTGTCTTGTCCACCCTCAGAGGCAGGTGACACAGGGGTTTAGACAAACAGGTACCACAAGGACGCAGCCCATGACATGATGAATTTCCACAAATTCCACCATTCCCTTCCTGTTTGAAGCTGCTCATTAACCTCTCCCTTAGCCATGAGGATACCTGTACAAGAGGCCATAACTTTTGACAATACTTCTAGCCCTGGAGGCAATGGTTCTGCCTCACCTTCAAGTATTAGTTCTACCTGTTTACCTGTCAAGTAAGCACTTCTGGGAACTCTAAGCAATGACTGCAGAGTGGTCATAGGTCAGCAGGGTCATCTTAGCTACATTCAGGCATTGTGCTGTCCCGACGGCAACAATGAAATCATTGCCCAGGCTTGACACTGTCTCTCTTCATAGGTGCCAGAGGCAAGAAGAATAAATTCTGGCATTTGTGTGGACTGGCATGTAAGCCCTGGCCAGGGGAGAATGAAATATTAATGTCTGTTTGGAGTTAGGCAGTTCCTTCAGCAGAGAAATTATGAGTAAAACATACCAAGAGCAAAACTCCTTTTTGTCTTCATGTAATCTCATCATATGCTCACAATAATCAGAGGATTTCAAAAGTGGAACTAATCCTTGAGTAGAAACTTTAACAAATTGTGCCAACTCCCTGACTAAAAGGAATCAAGGCTTGAGTAAGAAACTAATAGACAGAGTAGGGATTCTTAACTGCGAACTTTTAAAAAATATTTTGATAACTTTATTTCAATATTATTTCTGTTCTTTATAATCCTATGTATTTTATTGCATGCTTTTGAAAAAAAAAAAAAAGGAAGCCACCCCATAGGCTTTGCAGGACTGCCAAAGGGTAAGAGTTCTTAAGTTAAAGGGACACTCTTCATGATAACGGGGCAGCCAGTGGCACAGGGGAAAGAGTGCTGGGCCTGGAGTCAGGAAGACTCATCTTCCAGAATTCAAATCTAGCCTCTGACACTTACTAACTATGTGACTTGGGGCAAGTTGCTTAACCCAATTCGCCTCAGTTTTCTCATCTATAAACTGTACTGGAGAAAGAATGGCAAACCACTCCAGTATCTTTGCTAAGAAAACCCCAAGTGGGATCATGAAGAGTCAGACACGACTGAAAATGACTGACCAACGACATCATGATAGCATTGCAAGCCTGATTGAGATGACAGTGCAGGCAAATGATCTCCTAGCCAGAAAGGGATTATGTTGGGGTTAAGGACCCAGAGAAGTGCCAACATAGAGTCAGGGAACAGGTAGACAACAGAAAGACTCTGAGTCTATGTAACTGTGACTCATCAGTGGATCTAAGCCCACGCTTATGCCTTTTTTGCTTTGCCTTGTGCTTTCAGTATATTACTCTTGTTTATAAGGCCTAGTTATGCAAGGAAAAATAGAGCAGTAAGGGAAGCGTCTCTTATGAAACGTACGTGGAAATAAGATAATAAGAATTTCTGGATTGTGGGAATTCCCAACTAGAAAAAAAAATCACCATAGATACAGGAGAATTTATACTGGATGAGCCAGTGAATTGCATATATCAAGTCATATTTGAGGTATTTTCCTGCCAATGCCAAGGTCAAATGAGAAGGAATTAATTGATTTAAGGGTTCAGGAAATTACTGGTCATTGGGAGAGCCATGTCACAACCTCATGTACCTCAGGTTGTCAAAAGGAAAAGATGGAGATCTCATTAAAGTACGCTACCACAAGCTGATTGGGCACTACTAATGAAGTGATGAAACATGATGGAGGTCTTTGCCAGTGCCAAATGGCACACGGGGGTAGAGCTAAGGTAGCAGAGTAAAACTATCAACTCTTCCAACACACACAACAACAACAGCAACAACTTGACAAAAACATGTCAAACCAAATTCTGCACCGAAAACTAACAAAAGGTCACAGTGAGTCATTTTTCTAGCCCAGGGCAACTTAAGAAAACAGGACGTAGAAGGGGTTGGATGAGAGCATGACAGGTCCAAAGCAACCCAAGCAGTGACAGCAATGCTGGCCAGGGGCAGTGGCAGCAGCTGTGGCAGTCGGGGCCAGTAAGGGAACTGAACAGCCAGTCTGAAAGAGATCCCAGGCAAACCCTGTACTTGCACTTGGCTCATCACCCACTTTTGGGTCATAGTTCCAGAGTAGTTTGTTGCCCATTACCCAGTTCCTGGTTGCAGTTCTAGGGCAGAGAGGATTGGTTGCAGTCACAAGGGAGTTGGGGCCCTACTGTGTAAGAAACAGAGCACAGACTAGGAGGGCAGTGACCAGACCTCAATCTGGATCACATCACATGGGAAGCACCAAAAACTTACAAATCCCTAGATTGATCTGTGAGAGCAGCAGGACATAAAAGACAGAAACTCAGGCTAGATATTCTGCCACCCTCCCCCCAGCTCCCAGGGGTGAGCAGAGACCAACTCGCACATAAAGTCCAAAGTCAAGAAACAGGCAGGGAAAATGAGCAAACAACAACAACCTGACCATAAAAAGTTACTATGGTGACAGGGAAGCTCAAGGCATAAACTCAGAAGGCAATGACTTGAAAACATCTACAAGCAAAGCTTCAAAAGGGGGGAAAAAATGCAGATTGGGCACAAGCCCAAAAAGAATTCCTAGAAGAGTTAAAGGAAGAGATCTTTTTAAAAAAAAGAACAAAATTTATTTTAAAAAACAAATAAAAGAAGTAGAGGAAAAATTGGGAAAAGAAGTGCAGACAGCCATTTAGCCTTCTCCAGTTCAAATCTCCCAAGTTCAAGACAGCCAGCCTCAGTTTCCCTGCTTGCTGGAATTACAGGTGTTGCCACACTATGCCTGGCTCTTAAAGCCTATTGAAAAAGATGCCATAAGCCATTATAGTGGCCCACTGCCCCCAGATTGTATTTTATAATTATTTTCTAGTGTATTTCCTTTCACAAAGTATCTACTCATCTTCCTACAAATTGATAGGACCACAAACTGAATGAATATACACTAAAACAGGGGGGGTTTTTTTATCATTTACAAATAGAGACCCTTGTAATCCTTAATTATCTAGTTATAGTCAGTGAATGCCAACAAGATCACTAGAACATGCTTGAAACTTGGGAATTGTTTGATAGTTCACGAAACACTACCTGTTGCATAAATCATTCTAGATTTACCTGTGTGGTAGCTAATGACATTTTCATCCTGGTAATTCATTCATTGAGGATGACTGCCATTGCACTCATACTAATTTTTGTGCAGACCTAATACCTCTACAAGTTAACTGTTCTAGAGAGCTCAGAGTTTACAAATTGCAATATTATAGCCAATATGTTTCTGGGATCAGTATTAAGCTATAAGGATGGGATATGTTGCTGAATCCTCCAAGAGATTGTGTGATCCTGTATCATAATCTATTTCTGTTCCTTAATTTGTGGCATGTCTGTTCTGATCTGAGCCTACCAGACTTGTGTTGCAAAGCCTCTCCCCAACTTACGGGATCTCTCAGAGGCACCCTCAGCTTCAGGTTGCATTATCAGAGTATACTAAGGTTCGGAAGAGGGTGGCTTCTCGTGGCTGTGTTTGAAATACATAGTTTGGAAGTGGAAAGGACACATTTCCCACCCAAACCATTCTATCCAGATTTGTTGACAACTGGAAAAGTTCTTGTTTCGGGACTCAAAAA